TCAAGTTCAATACATCAATGCCAGTGCAGGCTGCAATTTAATTGTTTTGTGTTCTACTGGTGAACGTGGAGTAATCTTTTTTTTTTTCGTCTCCCAGCGTGTTGAACAGGTTGTGAACTCTACAAGTCTTAATATCTGCATTATTTATGGGTTTGGAAAAATGAGCTTAATCTCTAATGTGTCACATTTTCTCTTCCTGTGGTGGTGGAGCCTTGTTGAGAGAGCTCACTGCAGCTGGATGAATACAAAGGGGATAATACGCTTTTTATTATTAGTCCCAGTCTGGGGCCGAGCTATATTAGAAATGCTGTAACCTTTGTGATACACATGCACAAAATCCTGAAACAGGGCTCAATAGAAAAAAGAGAAAACAGAAAAGTCTCTTTTTTGTTTATTTGTTTGTTTATTTTGCAGGAGTATTACCACATAATTTCATAATGGCTTTGCTTTAGTATAGTTGATTTTTTTTTTTTAGGTGATTAGCTTAGGTTAGCATGTACGCGTAAAACTGAGGGAAAACAGTTATCTTGGTTCCTTCTAAAGAAATATTAAAATACATATGAAAACTTAAAGCTCACTAATACATATTTCCTGTTAACATTTATTAACTTAGAGATTTTGTAAGGTGGGTTTTCTTAGCTCAGACTAGCTAGGCTAGCTGTTGCTCATTGCTAAGCTAGTTAACCTTCTTCTTGCTACAGGAACCAGTACAAGAACCAGCATACACTAAAAAAAAATGTAATGGAGTAATGGACTTTACAATGAGGTATAAGGAGAGCTAGACCCCCTCCCTCTCATTTCCACCCACGATTGCATTAATATTACAGTACAGTAGAGCTCAAACTGACATCCACTAGTTAAAGAATTATTCATTCATATTTTTTTCTACTGACGTTTCAGAAAATCTTTTATATAAAGAGTTTGTAGCCTTGAACCAAGCTAACCAGCTGTGGGGTGAATCATGAGTAGAAAAATATTTGATTTGGGGAAAAAAGTCAATAAATAAAATAATGGAAATTTTTTTAAAAACGAAAGGTACAAGACAGCATTTGTAGTTACTTTTATTGGTGAAAGAACTGGTCACACTTGGTCACATAATGAATTGCAAATAGTCCAAAGCGAACGACTTCCACCCTTCTCTGATTGAATCATTTTTATCATCAGTGTTTTTTATGGTTAATGATAATACTGTGTTGTAATATCTTTGGATTTATTTTTTTTTTGTGTTTGTGTGTGTACAGTAACGCAGTGGCCCTTATGTGTACTAAAATATAGCTTAGTTATGGATGTGGTATTGCGCTTCGAGCCTGACTAGAGTCACCGCTCGGGCTGTTTCTGGAGTTTCACAAAAGCGACCTGCTCTTTGTGGGTTTGAACAGCCAACATAGCCAATTAGAGAGGTCACTGTTTTATTTCAGGATTAGGTAGAGTAGTTGTTTTCTGTAGCACTGTGAATAAAATGATTGATGTCACACGCATACTATCAATTCATAACGTGATAGCTTATAGTAAATATGGTTTTGATGGTCGACATGTGGCTCATAATTAAAAGCCCTTTTGGAGAATATTAATGGGATTTTTACTTCCAGAACCTCACTGCTGACCTCTTTTTTTGGGGAGACAGCAGGGGGGACATTGAAATTTTGATGGCCAGGGGCAGTGGCCCCCCCTGGCCCCCCTTAACCACACCTTGGCTGCAGGCTCATATTTAACATACAGATATAGGAATGGTATCAATTTTCTCATCAGATTCTCACAAGGTCCAAAACAATAAACTAAAATAAAACTTTTCTTAAAGTGTCTAAATATTCCATGTTGAATATAACAAGCAAGATTAATGGCTAAAATCGATGTCTGAGAGGATGCCATTTAGAATTAGACATGTCTCATTTTCTTTCTCAATGAAAGAGGAAACATTTCATATATTTTATAATCAACGCTAAAAAAAAGTGAAGCTTTTTCCAAAACACTTTTTGTAAAATGTATTTCCCTTATCTAAAATTAAACACCGCAGCTCCTTCTGTTTGCTCATTCCCCGAGTGGTTAGCGATTTAGCCAAACTAATTTAGCCAAGCATCTTAACGCATTATTCTTGTCATGTCCATAAATGCTTCCTTCACAGAATGAGAAGAGTTGGCATCGCATTCTCTCAGGTCTTCATAACATTTTGCCAAATTCAGCCTTTTAACGAGAATTACTTGTGATTTGAAAATGCCTGTTATGAAAGTACTGATGGATGATGCTGTGCTGGAATCATTATTACCTGTTTCACCAGCATTTCAGCAGGTGTATAGAGTGAGAGGAGCAAACGACGGAAAGGGGGGGGGGGGGTGGGGGGGGGGGGGTGCGAGGAATGAAGAAATATAGTGAAAAAGAAGAAGACAGAGAGAAAGCTGCGGCGACGCAGTGACAGGCACGGAGAGAGTGATGGCAGAAAGGGAGCAAGAGAGAAAATTAGAGAGATTTTACTCATTAAAAAGAGGAGCACAACAAGGGGAGATGGCATTAATCAGAGCTCTGCGCTAATGAGGCATTTACTCATTATGCTGAAATAGAGAGAGGCCACGGAAAGAAGAAGAATAAGAAGGGGAGAAAAGGGGGGAAGGAGGGTGAGATCACAATATAAATGAATGGAGAGAGAGAAAGAGAGAGAGCAGGAAAAAATTAAGTAACGGTACAGAAAGAGGTGACAGAGCCAAGTGTGGATGTGGTGGGAGGTTAAGAGGGACAGACAAGGACAAGATAAGGTGGGATATATGGAGTAGAAACAGGTAATGTAAGAACAGGGTTTCTATTTAAAGCTCTCTTTAAGGATTTATATGCTTCAATAGAAATAGACTTTAAATGCAGACAGTGTACTTATGGGACTGTTGTGAGGACGCTATGTAGACTTTGTTTCATCTTCTTCTTGGGTACCATCAAACCACAATAGGCACACTTTCTTGCAACAAAAACTAATAGATTTTTTTTTTCTAAATCTGAGTGACACACACAAGAAAATTGGTTTTATGATGTTTTTTTCTTTCTATATCTTAGTATAAAGATCTATGGTGCTTTTAAAGACCATTAGGGCCTCTCATTCGGCTAATGGCGAAGTAACACATGGACAGACGCCCGAGTGGTTCGCATGGTTGTCTGTTTAATGATCTATGCCTCCTCTTGCTAAATGGAGTCGTTAATATGTGCATTGTTTAATCCGAGACGACAATCACAGCTGATACATTGTGCGTCTTTGAGGCTTTTAGAAAATGTAATGACGAGGAGCCTCTACAGACGCTCCACACTGGGCCCATTTCAGCGTTGCTGAACTGAAATGACTTAGGACAGAAAATGTAAAAGTTTAGAGTTTGTTCCATCAGTGAGGGGACTGTTCATGCTTATTTGGACATAAAGTGTGACAGCTGCTTTCTCTGTTTTAGGTAATTAACAAATCTGTACGATATAAGGCAATCCTGCCTCATATGAGTACACGCTATCAGACTGTAGCTAGTGGCTTTGTGATGTTGTGCAGTTATGTAGGTTAAAATGCTAACGTCAGCTGCTAGCACGCTTACCGTGTTCTCATCTTGCAAGTTAGCATTACAGTAAGTTGCCGTTTAACTCTAAGCACAAAGTACGACACAACAGTGGTGCAGTTAGAGCTGGAAAGTTTTAAATCAAAGTGGCAGCGCAGTAAAGGTCTGCGAGCAAAAGTCATCTGGAGATGTAGAAACCTGCTGCTGATGCTAGAAGAAAAGTTAAGGAATCGCCAGTCATTAGGGCTCTTCCACTCAAATGAGTTTCTGCAGTTTTATGGAAATACATGGCAGTATGTGAAAAGATAATTAAATCTGGGTCAGAGTAGTATAGTGAATGATGCTGCTGACATTTATGGAGCCACGTTGGCAGTGCAGCTATAAACCCCCACAGTAAAGTTAACACTCTAGTGACCCTACCATAAACCTAACCTTAAGTTTCAGATCATAAAAAATGACTTTTTGTGTGTGTGTGTTGGGGGGGGGCTTTTAATATGTTTTGAGTGTTATTGAATATTTATTCCTTCTTTATTCCTTCGTCCCATGATTAGCAAGGCAAAAATCACAGATGCTAATTACTGATAGGTTGATTCTGATTCTGGTTAAGTTTCCAAGTCATCATTGTCATAGTGATAATGATGACAGTAGCTGCATGTGCACAATTCACATCCAGGCCCAGGATCACTGGAATTACTTTTTATTAGGTACGCCTTGCTAGCACCAGGTTGGACTACCTTAACTCTTCGTGGCACAACAAGTTGCTAGAAACATGGCTCTGAGATTTGGATCCATGTTTACTTGATAGCATCACACAGTTGCTGCAGATTTGCCGGCTGCATATCCATCGTGCAAATCTCCCACTCCACCACATCTCAAAGGTGCTCTATTAGATTGAGATCTGGTGGCTGTGGAGATCATTTGATTACACTGAACTCATTGTCATGTTCAAGAAACCAGTTTAAATGATGCTCAGCTCGTGCACAGGAAGAAAATATTTCCACTACGAAGCAGGATGGTTCCACGCTTTCATGTTGTTTATGCCCAATTTGCCCTTTTCTCATCTCTAAAAGATGGCTGTGTGGGAAATCCCCAGCAGATCAGCAGCTTCTGAAATACTCTGACTGTCTGCCCGTCTGGCATTTGCAACCATGTCATGCTCAAATTCCCTTAAAATCACCTTTCTACCCTACTCTGACGCTCAGTTTCAACTTCAGCAGGTCGTCTTTACCATGTCTACATGCCTAAATGCACTGAGGTGCTGCCATGTGTCTAAATAGACATATGCATCAATGAGCAGCTGAACAGGTATACCTAATAAAGTTGCTGGTGAGTTTAAATCTAAATCTTAGATCAAACCTCTCTCCTTACCTTTCTGTCTAGCTCTCAGGGTGCGACATATTCAGACGGCCTCTGCTTTGCTCCTTGTTTGTGTTCTGTCTGAGGATGTAATCAACCTCTTTCTGTCTGTCTCTCTCTGTTTGCCAGGACTCTGACCTTGTCCTGACATTTAACCTGTCCATGCACCGCTCCTGGTGGATGGAGAATGGCCCAGGATGCAGGGTGACGCCCATCACCCCTCCTCCCTCCTGGGCACCCGAGGACCACCGATATATATCTATATCTGGCTGTCTGATGGATTTTCAGTTCATAGAGGTGGCTCATTCCTCGCTGCAGATACTCCTGGCTGTAAGTACTTGAGATGAATAAGTACAATGCGCTGTAATTTCAAACTCAAGTGCCTGCATGTAGTAGACATACTCGGGGTTTATTGCTTTAAAAGGCAGTCATGACCTGCTGGTACTGTAGATACAAATGTAGCAGTTTAGAGCCGACTAAATTTGCCATAATTATGAGGGGAACATCAGGCAGCCTTCAAAGGAAAAACCTAATGCCTGTGCATTGAGTGGGCCTGCGTACAGGTGGCTGCACTCACCTGCAACTTCGCACCACGAGAGCACTAAGGCTCTGTCCAGTGATAGCTGCTCAGTACTGGTGTAGAGTATTTGGAGATAAGGAAATGGATTTAAACGAATGCAGCTGTCAACCATTAACTCTTCAAAAGTGTGTTAATCCTGTCCTACCTAGCAGATTCATCCAATTTATTATTATTTCCATAGAGTTCTAGTAAATGTAATATTTTTAATAGGGTTTGTGTCTTTTTATCACATTTCCAAACCCAAGCAATAAGAGGAAAGAGTTTATGAATATTTTTCTGTCATTTCAGCGGTAGAATGACCTAGCTAGAGCTGATTAGGTCTGCTAGTGATCAAAAAAACTCCTAACACAAGCAAAAAAAAACACAAAATAACTTTTTGTGTATGTCTTAGAACAGAGGTCCCCAACCCCCGGGCCACGGACCGGTACCGGTTCGTGAGCCATTTGGTACCAGGCAGCGAGAGTTAAGGCTTTATGGTCTTCAGGGTTTTTATCGTTAACTTGGTTTCCCTGGGTCTTTTCCCGTGTTGTAGTTGGGTGTCTTATTTTGAAAGAAATATTTATGCGTTACCATAGCAACCAGCGAGCAGAGAGGAGAACGTTACTCTCAATGTTGTTGGCGCATTTCAGGAGGACGCCGCTAATAAAGTTACGCAATTACACAGTGAATTCGCGTTTATTTTTATATTTACAAAATACCACAGTTTTTGCCTTGGTCGTATCATTTTATTTTGTTGTGTTTATCCGCCACACCTTAAAAGCCAGTCTGTGAAAATAGTGTCTGTCATTAAACCGGACCGTGGCGCAAAAAAGGTTAGGGACCGCTGTCTTAGAAAATTAAGTAAAATGAGTTAAACCATCATATTTGAGGGCGTTGTTAGATTAAAGTACATCTAGCCTTTCTTGTTTCCAACCATAAATAAATCTTTTTTGATCATAAATAATAACATCGTTCTTTTATTTGACTAAAAAGAAAAAAAAAATCCCAGTTATTTAAATGTGTGTCTATCTCTGCATTAGTTTACATGTGCAGGTAAGTATTAACATATGCGGCAATTACATCCTAGGCTTTGTACTTTTTTTGTCTGTGTATGGATATGTGATACGGTGCTTTTAAAATTGCAATTATTCAAATTATATTCGGCTATAAGTTGAACGTATTCTAAAGTGTACCACAGCCATGACAGCTCCTTTGTCTGCTGCAGCGGGTTGGACCTTTTTAGTACCTGTTTTAGACTAAAATGAGTCTCCATTAAGTTAATAACTCATACCCTCATTAACATAGAATAGGCTGGATAAGCTGCTTTAGAAACTGTTCCTCTATCTCTGTTTTCTGCCTGTCTCTCTGTTTTATTTCATTTTTGCAAACGTGATAGTTTTCCTCTCTGTTTCTCTCTGCCCTCAGTATTTCTTCCCCTCCTGCACTGTCAAACTGTGATAATTAGGAGGATCAGAAGAGAGAACATACAGAGAGAAGTAAAAAGCGAGAATGAGGGAGGCCTGCCACTTCTCATATCAGTTTCCTCTGTACTGTAGCTCTGTTTGTACACATACATTCAAATAAGGAAGTGCGCACAATAAACAAGTCAGAGCTTTAATGCCACGGTCGTGCATCATTACGCCAACAAAGAACAGGGAAAAGGTTTCGGAAGCGAGTGACTCTCCGTCTTTTCGATTTCATTCTGCATCTCGCTCTCTTGCAGTGCATGAGTGTCCCCTTCTCATGCCTACTCTGTGTCTCTCTGACAATCGATAGTGGTGCTTATAGTGTGGCTGAGTGCCAAGCCGCCGCACAGCTGTACCACTGTCTCACTGTAATTGGTGTGTTGAAACACTGTCATGCTCCATGAGCACAAACTCAACAGTCTGACAGGTTCACCAGGCGACCGCCAGCCTTGTTTAGTGTAATTGACTAAGTGTGGGTTAGAGTTTGCTTGAGTTACACCGTAAACTAAATGACTGGTCGTTATCAGGTTGATTGTCTGAATAACCGATGCTTGGCACATAATCCAGCATTGGTCTGTTGGTGTCCTTAAAGCTTCCTATTTATTGTAACTTCCTTTTCTGGCACAAAGGCTTTCTAACATGTGACTAACATTGTGAAAAAGGTGTCTTATAATCGAACTATATTGTTTTGCAAAAATCTAAATGGGACTAAACTATGGGCCAGATTTATGTATGCATTGCACTTGTGCAAACTGGGTTTTGACGTTAAAGAAAATTACTGTTATAAAAGAATCATCTGTATTTAAAAAAAAAAGGAGCGCAAGGTTACATGTAAGAGATTTTTCAGACTGACTCTGTTGGATTTCTAGGAGCTCCTTTCTCAAGGGGCAAATTATAAAGCAGAGAATATTTAAATCAAGCACGCAAACTGAAACATTTGCAATGTGCAGTTTACTGCTAATTCTGCTGATATTTAACAATGAGAACGATTGTTTTTTAATATCGTAATTAACCGACTGCTTCTGTGTTTAAAAAACAGTACAACTTTCTTAAATATCTCGTAAAACTGAGCCACACCTATGAGTGTTACTTAGGAACTGCCTTCACTCCCTGTTTAATAAATCTGGCCTTATATAGACAAACGTACTGAGCAACCTACACATTACACCTAGTGGAGCTGCTACACTGCAGAAAGCCAGGGCATGAAGCTCTCAGTGCAGTTTCTAGGCTGATGTTAATGTCAGGGGAGCGTTGAAGGTTTTTATTTTTGTAACTTTACATTGTCATTGTCTTGTCAAGTTTGAACTTTCCATAGAGTTCTAGTAAATGTAATACTTTTAATAGGGTTTGTGTCTTTTTTATCACATTTCCAAACCCAAGCAACAAGAGGAAAGAGTTTATGAATATTTTTCTGTCATTTCAGCGGTAGAATGACCTAGCTAGAGCTGATTAGGTCTGCTAGTGATCAAAAAAACTCCT